CCCATGGCACCAGAAGCACTGCCAGCTCTCCTGCCATGTCTGGGCACTGGGCTGGGCTGGGGAGCACATCCCAGCTCCAGGTCAGACAGAACAGGCTTGCTCTGCCCCCTGTAAAACTCAAGGTGCTCTCAGCCACAGCAGAAAGATGAGAAATAGTCAAGATGCAAAAGTGTATTTACAGCTTAGAGGAAGGAGAATTCAAAGCAGGCTTGAAATCCCTCAAACACTTTTAACGGAACCCATGCTCACTGATGAGGGAAACCAATGAAGTCCCTGGCAGCGTTTGCAGCTCCAGCCAGGCCAGGCCTGATACAGATGTGAGCATTTCAAAGCACAGCAGCCCAGCAGCCCAGCACAGTACCCTCCAACTCTGCTCTCCCCGACAATTAAATTACCCAAGCCACCACTGAAGTGAGTATCGACTAATAAATTTCATTCTAAAGAGACAAATTGATCCTTGTGTGCCATGAGCTGCTCTGCAGGGCCCCCTCTGGGTTGCCTAGGCAGGCAGACAGCAGGCAGAGACCAATTGATCCCACACCCTTTCATGTCCTGGCAGCTGCCGCCCTCGTCAGGGTTAAAGACTGTTTGCCCAGGAATCCCAGCCCTCTTATCTCTGATCAGATTATATCTATTTCATTTCCCCTGTTAGTTACTGTATGGCTACAACTGACAACTGGCTCGCAGAGCCCCAAGGCTGTAACTGATACCTGAATAAAGATACTTCAAGACTTCTAAATGGCAGCGTGCACAGGAAACAAATTTAGGAAATCCTGCTTTCTGTTACAGGAAATGAATCCTATGCCAACTGGTAGAAATTACCCTTGCTGTTAAAGTAAAGAGAATACAAGTTTTTGTACTCATTTCATAAACTGACCTTCCCTGCCATGGCAATATTTTATTGATATAGGATTTCAAAGGCTGGCTTTAACAGGAGTCCAAAGCCATTCCCCTACAGGGAATGTTATTTAACAGCATTACTCCCTTCTCAAGGGCTCCACTTGTGTAGCTCCTGCATTTTGTAACATCTAGGATGACATACAGAGCACGGCTAAATAATATTTGTATATCCAAGACCGACAGACAAGATTTCCTCGGTGCAGCAAAGCATATCTGATTTCTGAACCTGCTGTAATTCTCTACTTAAGAAAGGAAAAAAGAATTTAAACAATAATCTTGGAAGGATTAGTTATCATGCTATAGTAAAACAAATAAACAATATCCCCTGGGTATTTCAGACAAATTGCTGTGTAAATATTTTAAAGACAGAACAGTATAAAGAGTAAAAGTAAAAGAAAAATCACTGACTTCACCATATACCATAGTATATATGTAAATAAACAGAAATCTGTGCAAAAATAGCCTATAAATGCTTTAGGAGAAAAAAAAACCCTTAGATGCAGATCACAAAAATGACCATCTGGAAATCATTCAGAACTCGTTTCAGTGCAAAGGCAGTTGCTTTCTGTACACTGCCTTGTCAGGGGAGAGCAACCCTGCCCCAGCCACGTGGGACAGGACAGGACACCCACACCCTGCCCAGGGAGGAGGTGCTGCTGGCACCTCACTGCAGCCCAGCCATGCAGGGGCACTGCAGAAATGCAACCTTTGCATGAGGCACGGAAGAAAATTAATATATATAAATATATATGAAACAAATGAACTGCCTACTGTGGGAGAAAAACACCATAGGGAAATTCTGAATTATGTAAATGGGCAAACCAGCTCTGTGCCAGTCTTTCAGCAACACAACAGCCCCAGAATCCTCACTCAGTTGGGCTTCCAACAAGTGCATTGAATTCCATATCTCCAGCAATGAGGCAAGCCAGCTTCTCTTGTGATGGCACAGGTGGGAAGGTTATTAGCAGAGGCAAAGCTGGTTTGTCTGAGGCAGTACATGGAAAAGCCCTTTGAATGTAGTCAAAAGGGTGATTTGATCTCACACTGTCAGTGGGATTCTCAGGGGAAATCTCAAACTTCAGTGTCTCTCCAGCACAGAGCAAATATAATTATACATATTGATAGAAAGCAAAATGTGTTACTTTTGTTGCACTAAAAGGTGTATCCAAGAAGCATAACCAATATATGAAACCACATTTTATTCCTCCTGTCTTTATCACACAAGGAAATTACACTATAATTATATTTCCCAGATTTTGCAGGGGGTAGCAAACAGCATTTAAACTGTAAGTGCTGAATTGAACCTGATTTCCCAAATGCTCAGTAAAGGTCTCCAGTGAGTGTCTGAAGAGCTCCAAAGCTTCTCCCCACCATGCCACCTGCACAGCCCTGGCTGCACTGGGAGCTGGCAGAGAATGGCAGGGTCCAGCTCTGCTCTCCAATTACCCTGTGCACTTCACCCTCTCCCCAGAACTAACCTGGGCACTGGCTCTGCCCACCTGCACGTGGGATGTGCCATGGTTACAGCGATTCCCAGCTTTTCCCTGGTCTGGAAGGTCACACACCTCGCACAGCTGAGCTGAGGGAGCATTCCAGCCCTCTTCCACAAGCTGTCCTCCCCCAAACGAGATAAGATTGCTCATAATTTACCAGACCTGGTCAAAGGGATTCCCAGAGTCAAAATGAAAAATACACCCAAGACAAAAGGTGCAGAAATAGGGACAAAATTCTGTGATGCAGAGGCTTACAGAACAGCCAGATACCAGCCTGGAGCTTCAGGCAGAGAGGCAGAACAGCCGAGAGGGCACTGACAGCCTATTCCCAGCTTATCAGAGCAACAAACACATTACAGTATTATCCCCTTCACTAACCCTGAGCCCTTCCCCAAGGAACCACAGGGCTTTTAGCAGCCAGCAGGGCCATGGGGCTGCTCTGACTGACCTCGTCGGGGCTGGAGGCCTGGTACACCCTGCAGGAGTCCTCGTAGTGGCGCTCGGCCTCGGCCTGGTCGGTGACGCCGTTGCTCTCGTAGACGGGGGTGACGTTGTGGCACAGCGCGATGGCCTTGACGGCCTCGTGCACGCGGCTGCTCATGCTGCGCCGCACCTTGGTGGCCAGGGACAGCCCCTTCACGGCCGGGGGGTCCTGTGCCTGCTGGGGGACACACAACACGCTCTTACTGAGGGAAAAGTGACATTTGGGATCAGTTTGTATGGACTGCGCAGGTCCGTGTCCCCACAGACCAGGCACGCCCTTACTGAGGGGAAAAATGACATTTGGGATCCGTTTGTGCAGGCCACTGTCCCCACAGACCAGACATGCTCTTAACTGGGGGGAAAAAGTGACACTTGGGATCCGTTTGTGCAGGCCACTGTCCCCACAGACGAGGCACGCCCTTACTGAGGGGAAAAATGATATTTGGGATCAGTTTGTACAGGCCTGTGTCCACACAGAGCAGGCACGCTCTTACTGGGGAGAAAAATGGCATTTGGGATCTGTTTGTACAGGCCCATGTCCCCAAAGACCAGGCACACTCTTCCCACCCTGCAGCCCCACATTTCTCTTCACAGAGAAAAGCAAGGCACAATTCTTCCCAAGAATATTTCTGGGTTTTGCATTCTCTGAAGCTCAGAGAAAGAAAACACAATTCTTATCATTTGCTGTGCCTGTGTTTGTGCCAAACATGGAGATTGTTTACCCAGAGTGATGGTGTTTTTTTTCCTTGGCCTGTCAGGGCCAAGTGTGTGTGTGTGGGGACAGTCACGAGATTCTGGGCAGTGTGTGCAGGGTTGAGTGCTTGGCAGATTGAGTTTTAGATGTATAGAATAATGCAGTATAATAAAGTAATTAATTAGTTTTCTGATATTGATGGTGTCCTCCTCATCATTCCTCCTTTGTCAGGGCCCTCACAGCATTGCCATACCACCCCTCACTCAGGCCACTCAGTGTCTCTGGGAACTCTCCAGTGCAGCTCAGCTCCTGGAGCATCGCTCCTCAAGGGCCCCAAAAGATGGAAGTTTTGGGACAGCACACCAAGAAAAAGCCCCTTAGCTGCAAATCCACCAAAAGGAACACACCATCCTCAAAAGACTCAGCGAAACCACTTTTTTACTCCACAAAGGACCAGTAGTTTGGGAAATTTAGTCACTTGGGTTTCATGTGAAAGAGAATACAATTGGTGAAAACACAAAACAGATGACTGGTATGGAGCTAGAAAATCTTAATTACATTCATTTATTTTTTAATACTATTTTTAGTATCAGAATGGGAGTCTTCAGATAATTGCACAATTACTAAATTATCCCAGTTGAAGAAGGGACACACAGTGATCCAGTTTCCTGCTCTGTTAACCTTTAGTGTCAAAAGGACAAAAGTTTCACTTCCAGGTCAAAGGGCCACAACATGGTAAAAATAAGAGCAAAGAATAAGAACTACAGTTCAAAATGAATCATTGCCAGCAAATGCTTCTCATTATAAGGAATCTCACTTGGTAATTATGAAAGTTTTATGAGACATATATCCATTACCAGGCTAATTCCACATGTTATTTTCCACACTAGCGATTAGGACCCATAAGATCCTCAAATTTAGTATCACTGCCCATCACCACTGCTGCCAAAATCCAACAGCAAACCCTCAGCTTAAGTGCACTCAGTCGCTGCTCACACACTGGACTAGTCAGTCACCCAAATGGTCCTGACAAATACTGGGCACTTTGGCAAATAATTAATCAGTAGTCAAGTTTTCTCTAGACATTCAGTATAAAATGAAGGCAAATAAAGCTGAAGTCTGAGGGTTTTTTGTTTTTTTTAAATACAGTTTTGTCATTTAAGAGTCTCAACACAAGAGAAGAACCAAATGCTAGGAAGGAGAAAGAAAAGAGATAGCTGGATATCTAAATAAAAGTTATTTTAGACTCAGACCTCAGCAGCAGGACACACTTGCATGTGATGTGAAACAGCCCACAGAACATAACGAGCAATCGTGGCATTATTTATGAATTAAGCATCCAGTGACCTTCAGGCTTTCCCAAAAGCAGCTCATAAGCAGATCCCTACCACATGAATTCCCCACTGGCGCAGTAATGTGGAATTTTGGGCAGAGGGAGCCAGGGGATGCAGCTGGTTGTACCTGTGTGTAAATGCTGAATATGTGGCTCTGCACCTCGTCCATGGAGTCCAGGCCGTAGGCCACTGTTCCCAGGTGAAGCCTCTTGAAAACCATCTCGTTCTGGGTGAGAGTCCCTGGGAAAACAGCACCACGGGGTGGGATCAACACCCCTACCCAGCACACCTCTTGTCCCTGCTGTGCCCCCAGCACACAAACCTGAACGTGGGCCAGCAGCTGAACCCATCACTGCAGCACTCCCAGCACAGCCAGGGCTGGCAAAGAACCCAAAATCAACAGACCCGAGGGCTCATTCTCCTGGGAACTGGGGGTGTATAAATAACAGTGAGATTCACCCCACAGTCAATGCCAGCAGGAGCTGCAGGCACAGCTCTGGTTCCACTGGAACCAAAAAAATTGGAAACTACTTCAGTGGGACCGGGATTTTATGTCAGACCAAGCTTTTCATCACAGCTCAGGCCTTCAATTCAAGTTCAGCTTCAAAAGTGTAAGGGCAGCAGCAGACAGCTTCTGCCTACATATATGTTATCTTAACCTGGCTTTGAAAACCAGCTCGAAAAAGTTGGTTTTAATTTTATTTTTATCCTCAGCTTTTGTTGTAACAGCATGCTTTAAGTATTCATTCAAGTAGTATAATATTCCTGTCCAACCTTACTTACAGCACATTTGGAACAAAAAAAAACAGAACTTTTTTTTCAAAATCTGAATAAACCATTTGTCAAAGTGACAGGAAATGCATATTTCTTCCAGTCCTAAGAAATAACACATTATCCTCTTTTCCTGGCCAAAAACATAACAGAATCCAAACAACATGCCATGACTCAAAGCTGTATTTTCTGCACCAGTACCTGTTTTGTCTGTAAGCAAATAGGAAATCCTCCCCAGCTGCTCAGGGATGGTGCTGGACCGAACCACAGTGCCAGGGATTTTGGAATCTCTGCGGATCACCCAGCTGTACACAATCTTCCCCATGTCCAGATTCACACGCAAACTGCACAGGAGAAAAGAGAAAAAGGAAAATAAAAATTATCACCAGGTAAACTTTGGTAAAAATCCTTGTGCACTGCCACAGTGCAATGAAAGGACAACGAGTTCCACAGTGAACCTGAGTGCCAAAGGAGAGTTTCAGGAGTTTGTTCAAAGTCAGTGCTCTGGTGCCAATGTAATTACACTGTCATTCAAAGACGGATGACAAAATTGAATGAGAAGAGCAGATATGATTTGAGGGGAAGGTGGACAGAGTAAGGACAGTGATGGATACCAGAGAGCAGATTAAAAATGGAACTGAAATGAATCCCAGTCCTGCACCCAAAGTTACTAATCTACTTTCTAACACAGTACAATTTAATATCAAAGTTTGATTGCCCTCTAAATGCATTCCCCTACATTCTGTATAAAACACCCTCCTTTTCCATTTTTTACTCTGTTCTAATCACAGTAACCAAGTATTTCAAGCACTGAGAGAAGGGAATTTAAATGCCTAATCCACAGTCTGAGCCAGTGAATGGGTTAATAAATTGAACAAATTCAGCAGAATCGACAAAGCAATTCTTATGTTTGAGCTTCATTTCTACTTCTGGCCTGGCTGAGCTGTGCAATGAGGAACAGTAAGAGCTCAGGTGCCCGAGCAGGCAGTGCTGTGCTGGGAGCATTCCCAGCTGTCCCTCACCTGATGGGAATGATGTTTGAGAACAGCAGCAGGAACCTGATGATCTGCAGGTACCAACGGCCTGCAAAGTGCTGGAGGGCCACCATGACCAGGGACACCACCACCAGAGCCCCAAACAGGATCTTGGTGAGGCAGTTCACCTCCAAATCAAAGAGGCCAATCTAGGACAGCAGGAGAGAGAGAGAGTTCAGGCACACAGATGAAGGTGTCAGCTCAGTGCAATATTCACACAGGAAGGGAGCTGCCCCTCCATCCAAAGAGCCATTCCCACTAGTCAGCTTCTCTTCTTTCAAAATACTACAAACATATTTAAATTTATAATCAATACTCTTGCCAGCTTATAACATGAGATTTCCATCCCTCAGAAGCTCAGCAGAGGATGCAGAGGTGTGAGAGGGCTCATGCTGCCAAAAGCTGCATAAACACCCCTGCACTGTGTATTAGCTGTGCTACAATGGAAGAAATGCAGCAAAATAAAGCTTTTCTATTCTAACAGGGACTGTCTCATTATAAACATATAAAACATTGTTTGACAACCTTAAAAAAGTGTCATGACATATATATATTGGATGAAAAAAATCCTATAGAAATCCAGGAGAAATAGGTTACTGTTCTGGTAACTATCTTAAACCACAGGCTGGAAAATATGAGTTATTCATATGAGGTTGTTCCTAGAGTGTGTACATAGAGTATTTAGAAGGATCTCCTTGTAAAAAATGATCTGTTTCTGCTCCTTGTTATTTATTACAAACCTGTTTTCTTCAGCATACCTTACTTCTGGGGTTGGAGGTGTTCATCACACTGCGCAGCTCCCTGCCCGTGTAGAGGACAACTCCCACCACAGTACCTGCACACACAGAGGTTTTCTCCATAAAAACACTCCTCAGGTGGAGAGCACTTTCAGCAGGCTAATTTCAGAAGCAAGCAGAAATTCAAAAAGCTGGAATCTGCAACACCACACCTATGCAAACACAGACTGGAACAGGAGACATCCTCGCAGCAGTAATTCAGTCTCAGGGCTGGACTTGATGCAGCATCACAGACTCCATCAGCTCATGGGAAGAGCAGCCAGCTCTGCTCTACCTTCCCTGACCCCCTTTTGATCCACTTGTCTCTCCAGACGATAAATAAAAGTTGGTAGGGATGGAGGATTTCTTGGATTTCCTCCCACCACTTGGAATCCCACTTTGGTGCTGCCTTCCATTGTATGTCCAAATTACACCAGCTCTGGGCTAGGGTTACTTACTGACAAAGGTTGAAACAATCAGAGTAAATCTAATTAATTCCAGAGCTAACGACCGAATTACCTTATTTTAAAATCTACAATTGACTTAAAGTGTTATCTAAACACTGTTCCTACCACAAAGTGAATCACACCAACTCCTACCTTCCTGGAACAGATGGAGCTGCTCGCAGCCCATCAGTGAATTTGAATGCTCTGTCCCACAGTTGCTAAAGAGCTGAGAGCAACAAAGTCCCCAATTTTCTTCTTGCAGAAACATAATTCACCATTAAATACAGGGTTTCTATGGGCTTTCTCTTAAAGACTTTGCAAAGAGCCATGAAGAAAAAGCTGTCTACCATCAACAGTTTAAAAGCTGCTATTGCCCAGAGTTTGGAGTCTGTAAAAATGGAGAAAACCAACTCTAAAAAAAACACTATGCCAATACATTGCTACTTTATACTCTACTGTTCCCCTGCTCTCACTAATGATCAGTTTTAACAAGCTGCAGGTGACTTATTTTTAAATAAGGCTGATTCAAGAGAGGTGGTTTCTAAAAATATGCTGAGAAACATTCCTTTAAAAAAAACCACCCCCAAAAACAACAACAAAGCCTTGGAGCCAGATGGCAGGTGGTGGTAAGATCATCACAATTCAGATCAGCAGATGGCACAGCTACTCCAAATCCACTGCAAACAGTCAGAGTCAGACCCAGCCCTCCTGCAGCAGATGGAGAAAGACACATTGCTCTGCTTCTTCTTACAGGGGCTGCCCCATGAGATGGCACCACAACCCGACAGCAGAAGAAAAATAATATCCACATTTTCTCCTTACAGAAATAACCTACAACATGCTATTTGTTATTACCACAGGAGAAACAAAATCCAGTATTGTATTGATAAGTCAGTCAAAATGAGAGGAAGCACCTGCCAGGACTACAAGAAGCTTGAAAACACATTGATCTGTGAAAAGGGAGTGTTTCTGGTTGGTTTATGGCCATTTCAAACAGACTCAATTGCATAAACCCTTTGAAATTATATTTGCAAATGCATTGTCAAGTCTCTCCATTTGACAAGTCTAACTCCAGAGCTGGACTCCAGAATTGCACTCTCCTCCAGCTCCTGCCCAGCAAACACACTGGGCAGGAGAGGAACAAGGCTTTTACTTTGACAAGCCTCTACAGGGGGGCATTGATTAATCTCAGGCCTCGGGAGTTTATCGGACATATGAGTCAAAATCTGTCAAAGACTTGATTTTCTTTCCTTTCTTAAGAGTATATAGGACAAACTCAATGGCAGCACTTACCTGGAAATCTTTCATCTCAGCTTCTGTTCCCAGAATCCATTTGACACCATTTCTGTTACAGATTAGGATGTCAATGTGCAGAGCAATTAAGTGCTATTCTGCTCCTAGATGCTAAAGAAGGCCCCAAAGGCCACTCCACTTCTTTCTCATCTAGGAATGTCCAAGAGGCAATTAGATGTCAGCTCAGCTCCCCAGAGGTGTAAGGACAAGGGGGAAACCTCATTCCAACTGCTAATTTCTCCAACTGACAGAATTATTATTCCATCACAGAAATACCTTTAAAAATTGCTAACATATTCCCTTAAAAACAACTTTACATGGGTCTCCACCTTACCTGATGCAATCACTGTGCTGGCCCACAGGGTGTTTTCTATGCTTAAACTTTCATTTACTGGAGGGTCACTGTCCTCCTACAATGGGAAAAAGAGAAAAATAAACAAACTTGTCAGTAATGGAAAAGAGCAGAGAATGAGAGGTATTTGGGGAGTGATGCTGGGTGAGCTGGCAGAGGGATTTCTGATAGGATGGAGAATTTTCATAAACCCTGGTGACTCTGTGGTTGATTTTAGGCCCTGCCAGCAGACTCACCCTGGTGAAGGTCCCCACAAAGTTGTGGATGTCAATGTTGGGTTCCTCTGCGTAGACATAGGAGCGGATTTGCAGCAGGTCCTATCAAACAGACACATTCATCAGCCCTATCAGCTCCTATCAGCCAGGCACAGCTTATAATGTACAGGAGTTTTAGCACAACACTGCTCCAAGAGTTACTTGGCATGGTTTAGAATTGACTTGATAGCTACTGCAGCCCAGGAGTCCCCCAGAAAACACACCTGGGGTAGCACGGCATTTCCTGGAGTGACACCCGAGAGACTCCTGGGACTTATCTGTGCCCAGGAAAGAAACCCCAGCCTGAAAACAGGGCTGCAGCATGCCCAGGTTTTCAGGGAAAGCCTGTCCAAGCTCCCAAGCACAGAGTGGCAGGCAGGTGCTCACAGAGGCCGTGGGCAGGCGCTGGGTGCAGGTGACAGGCAGCCGCAGCTTCCAGTCGGTCTCCCCGTCCAGCTGGTCCGTGCGCAGGAAGCAGGAGCCTGGGGATGGGAACAGCAGTCAGGGACCCTAGGCACACCTACAGGGAACTCAGGGGATGGCTTCCCCTCTAGGACACCCACATCCTTCTTTCTCTGGAAACACGGCCTGATTTGCATTTGTTAATAACAGAACGATGACGTTCCTGCACCACATTCCTCTCCCTCCACTAGGACAGAATTCTCTGTGCTATACTTTTTTTAAGACACTTGAAATGTTCCCATTAATCTGTTCTCTAACCCTTCTGATCAAACATTTCCTTATCCCACACTTAAAGCGAGCCTGAACAGTAAGTAAATATATCTAAAATGCAACCAGATTCATTTACCCTGGACTCAACCCCTACATTCTTTGATTAGCAAACAAAACTAGAGTATAACATCCTGAGAAGTGGTGGTCCATAAAACCACTTGAGTTCCCCCTCTCCCTAAAACTTTACTATTATCTATTTCTTTCACATTTCCAAAAGATAATTTTCTCCAAACAACCAGTGAAAGGTTAATGGCTATTTTGACAATTGGTTCCAGATGTTTACCATTCTTCTCCGACGTCCTCAGGAAGATCATGTCAGCAGGGACCCTCTGGTTCTGGGGGGAGAAGAAAGGCCATTATTGTGCAGGCAGCCCTGCACGCGTGTGCAGCGCCTTCCCCAGAGCAGCAGAGGCACAAAGAGGATTCCTTTGTCAGCCTGGAGCCTGGGATTCCGTTTGCTTTGAATCCTCAACTCGCTTCCCTGCAGAATTCCAAGTGCACGATAATAACTGGTGCCAGCTCCCACTGACCAGACACAAGGGTTAGATTTACAAAAGGGCTGGAGAGTAATTCTAGAAGTATGAAGAAATCTTAAACTAGTGCTGGTTTCCTTTCAAGGAGTCCCATGTTAGCAGAAAGGTTGTACCTGGAATCTGCAGCTACCAAGTTTCTCATTTTGTACTGAGCATTTCCATACTAATGGTTTAGAGGTCACGGCTGCTTACAGAGAGTGGGTGGGAAAAACAAAACCAGTGGATTAAAAAAATACATTAAAAGTTGTACAAAGGGGGAAATATACCTCTATATACCAGTACCTACAAACAGATCACGTGGTCTCCCAAAACTGCAATGCTTATACCCAAAGAAACATCTGGGTACTACTTTTGTTCCAGGTATTTAACCTGTGTCCAACAGTCACAGAAAGGACAGGGAAGCTCTTTATCTTGCTAAATTATAAGAAAAAAATTGGTTATAGGCATACCCACAGATTTGCCCTCATTTGTAAAGATAATGATGTTATTGGTGAGGTGGGAGAGCACTGTAAAGTGATTTAAACTTGTGTTCAACACCTGATATTCTAAGTCTATTGTAAAGTAAGTAGGAATTCAAAAGATCTCATTTTCTATGGTCTTGCAAAAAAAAAAAAAAAAAANAAAAAAAAAAAAAAAAAACCCAAAACCCCAAAACCACTTTACACAGGAAAGAAGAGCATAAAGGCAAACCTTTTCCACAATGATGAGGTCACCCACTTGTATGTTAGAGCTCTTCACCTTGACAGTCCCTGCAAAGGAAAGGCGTTGGTGTCAGAGCAGAGCAGGACAGGGTTTGGGTGCTGTGTGCTGCTCCTGCCCTCCCCTCCTTCCCCTGCACTATGGGGCTGAAAATGGGAAATGTTTCCACTGCAGGGACTGGGCAACGCTGCCCTGGAAAGATTTCTGAACCCACTGTCCCCACTAAGGGGTGGCTCTCCCAAAAAGGGCTGGAGCCCCTCCTGTAACAGCTCCAGACACCAGCCCTGGCTGCAGAAAGCCCCAGCCACTCCCTAGTCACAACTCTGAAACAACTCCTTAAATTCCTTTTTGTAGTGCCTAACTCATGAATTCAGAAACACCTTCAGCATCAGGCAGGTGCCAGAGCAAGAACAGAAAGCTACAGCAGGGAACCATCAAATCCAGCTCCTTTTCCTCAGGTGCCTGGAAATGCAAAGCTCGACTCTCAAGCCAAGGCCTGGAAGTACAATGGTCCTTCCAAATTCCAGCCTCATTTCCTGCCCTGCTGCAGCTCCAACCTCTGGCTCAGCTCTGCCACCTCTCCTCTGCCTCTTGCGGGACTGGCCAAACAAGCAGAGAACAGGTCCTACAGAAATCATGTAAATATTTATTCCTGTGCAGCTGTCAAACATTTCCCAGCTGCCTTAAAACAGGGGATTAATTTAACAGTTGGCTAGTAATTTCAAATCATTAGCCAGCTCTAGATTTGGCTTCTCAGACTAACTAGTGATTTATAATCAGTTAATTTGAACCCTGCCTCCACGTGTCTGTTATATTTCAACAAAAGCCTCTTTAATCTGCTGTGATTTGAGTGGAAGTGGGGGAGGCACGTGGAGCTCCCCCTGGCACGGACAACACTCCTACTGTACCTCAAAATTCACGGGCTAACTGGCCAGATAGCAGCTCAGGGGAAAGCAGGAGGGGGAAGGGAGGGGGAATAGAAATTAGCACAAAGCACAAAGGTCACTGGGATTTTACTACTGGCAGTCCCTTCATTAGCATCCTTCTCAGGATATGCTTCAGTGTTTCTGCTCCAAATTAACAATGAAAGCCATTCTGGGCTGGGGCAGCCTGCTGCTTTGGTGACACACTGTGTGCCTAACAACATGCTTCATCACTGCTGCTAATAAATGCAGACTTCCTTGCATGCTGTAATTATTCCTACAAATTATAAGCAGTCATGGCCCATTTCACAAATATCTCATAGGTCTTTCATGGATTCTGGAGTTTGCCTTGTGAGGGTTTTTGGTTAAAAAAAAAAAAAAAAAAAAAAAGGTAAACAAAATGAATGCTGGGCTAAAGACATCTCTGCCGGGGCAGGAAGCAAACCGGGGATTAAGAGTCCATTACGCTGGGGCTTGAAAAGAAAAGCTGCACTCCAAGAGGATCAAAAAAAGCATCCCTGGCAGTCTTCTGTATGGGCTATACAAAGTTAGGTACTATGACACTAAAAGGGTCTGACAGATAACATCTCTTCCTCCCCTTTTAATACGGTTATTCACAAAGCAACAAAAAGTGCTTTTGAATATTCTCCTGTGCAAAGGGAGGGGGGAAAAGCCCGAGTGCTCTCCCCACACAGCCACTCCTGGCCCAATGTGCAGAAAAGCTGTGGATTTGTTTAACCATATTTTCTGTATTCTCTCCAAGATCACAAGGATTTATCTGGTGACTGTCAGGAGAAGCAGTGCTACCTGCAGGGTTCAGACAAACTTTTTTAGGTTTTCCTAAACAAGGTAAAAAAATCATTCTGCAAAAGAGGAATTAATGCCTGGACAAAGCTGTAACGTGATGATTTCCTATCATTACGTACATAAAAGGCTTTTGGGATCATTATGCTGAAAACAGTATCATCTGCTGTAAAATTTTTCCAATTTGAGCAAACCCAAAGCAGCTGGAGCAGATTTGTCTTGCTCAGGAACCCTCCCAACCTCAGCTGTTGGAGGGTAAAACAAAGAGGGGACCTTTCTAAGCAGCACACGTTTTTCTAACTCCTGGATAAATGAGATGCCCTTTTTAGGGAGCGAATTCTGCTTCTGCAGCCTCCCTGGCCCCCGTGGGTGACATCTCTGCAGCGTGCACACACGTCCTGCTAAGAAGGGCCAGGACCAGATGTTTCCTTTGACTCAGGACTCCCATAAAGAACTTGCTTGAATTAGTTTTATTTTGATCTTGGGAATTCTGTAATTCCCTTTTCTTTCTGTGGGGAAACTGCCACCTAAACATCAGATGTTTTCTCATGCATGTTTAAAACCAGCTAATAAGCACAACTGGTCCATTTCCCACAACTGCTCTATTTAAGTAATTTGTAATTATAAACTCCTGGTTTTGTAAGTGCAACTAGAAATGTTTCCTCTAAATACACACAGGTTTATCCAGCATTTATATCACTTTCAGTTTGTACTTCCTTAAGTTAATTAGAATAGAAGTTGGTGTTTATCACTTCTTAAAAGGAGCTAGTCTTGATCTCTCATTCAAAAAAATCTATTGTTAAAATTTGTCTGGTATTTGTTTCATTCTCTGCTATGCCCTGATTTATCTTTCTTAAAGAAAAGAAAGTAAACATAATCAAATGCAAACACTTTGCTCCAATTTAAGCTATGGTTTTTGAAATTATCACCAAATTTGCAGCATGATGGATGTACCAGAAAGCAGATAATTTCAAGTAATAAATATATTTGCCAGAAAAGATTCCCCTTTTTACCCTATGAGCACTTAGGTCAAAATTTCACAATAGTTCTGCAAAGCTGCACTTAGGTACAGATCCAAACAGAGGTTTACTAAAACAAGTTAAATGCATCTAAAACATAAAAAAAAAAGAGGGGTGGGTTTGTTTGATGTGCTGCACCAAACTTTCGGCTTTTGTAGCCTTATGCTGTGGAGCAGGACTCGCAGAGTTTGGGAAAATATTGGTTTTTTTATGGCTGGTAAATGCCAATGATCTGTATCCTAAGTAGCACCCCTCAGTAGGAGGTCCCTTCCCACTTTTCTGTGGAGTTTCTCTCTATTATGCAGTGTTACCCAGGGAGGGGGGCTGCAGGAGAAGAAAAACAAGCCAGGAATTTGCAAGCACAGTTCGAGCTTTCCATCAAGCACATCAGAACACAGACCCCTGAACACAGGGAGGCTTGTGGCTTATGAATAGGGGATTGAAATTTGATTATTTTTTATAACAATCCAAACAACTCTCCTTTAAATGCAGAGCTTTCCACTAAAAAAAACAAAAATAGCTTTCCAGAAGTCTGCTGGTTTTGTCATTTTGGAACATAAATGGATCATCTGGGTAAAAAGATAAAGATTTAGGGTGGAGGTTTTTGTCATTAGTCTCAGCACAGGGCTGTGCCAAACCCCTGCAGCATGACCTGTGCTGTTCCACAGCAGCAACAAAAGAAAAGCCTGTAAAAACCCCAAGTCCTACTGTCAGCTACACTGAAAATTAATTGTTCACATCAGCTGTTCCAAATTTATTTTGGTATTTGCTGCTTCTGCCTCTGAGCTGGTGACACTCTCCCATGAAAACCCAGCTCCGTGTATAAAGGGGTGAGATAAATCAACCCCCAAATTTCCATCCCCTGCTTCACCAGGCCCTGCCCTGCTCCCAGGTAATTCCCAGAGGAGCTGAGGTTTTAATCAGTGGAAAAGATGATGAGCTCTCCCAAAAAACTAAGTTCTGAGATTGGGTGAGGGACAGAAAATTACTCTTCTCCCCAAACCATGTGACAATCATAAAAAATTTTCTATGATTTTTTCTACTCTAAACTACACTACAGTCTCATTCCTGTTTCTGCACAAAACTCATGTTAAATACAGTGGTTTGAGATTTTCAGCTAGTGCCCAGCTGCCAATCCTCCTTGGTTTCTTTCACAAAAATTAGAGAAGTTAAAGGACTGGGGGAGGGAAATCATTCATGGGAAACGTAATAGCAATATGAAAAGAACTAAAGGAGAGGTCAGGCCCCTTATAGATCATTGAATAGAATCCAGAAGGCAACTCTTTTATATCTTTAAATAGATGTAGTACACCCCTCTTGGATGAGGCTTTTGTTGGTTGCCAAGCATTTTAAGTGTTGTACTAAGAACATGTTATTAAAAGGGGATTTAATATTCAGAAACTCAAACTCCCTAGTTTGGAGTTGCCTCATAACTCCTGGCATGTGAAATATATCCAGCCTTAAGCAATTATATTTGAAAAGCAGCCTTATCCCTACAAATGCAGCATTTTTTTACTACACCTACATCACTGCATCTTAATTCAGGGGTATAAACTTTTATAACTAAGAAACTGGAAACGGAAAAGAACCAAAACTGCTCAAATTCAGTTCATTCCCTTTTTGAAACAGAAGCCTGGCCTCAGCATCTTTGTCATGGTATTAGGAGTAACTCCATAGTGAGGCAGCACTGGATTGCTCAAATGAGAATTTAAATGTCTTTGTTAGGTACAGCACAGCTGGAAACAATGGCCAGAGCAGGGTCAGGCTCAGCTGAGCCCAGCCTGGGCTCCCTCCCAAACGGGGGCTCCAAAGGAGCTCCAGGGGATGGACATGGAAAATGCAGGAGCTGACCCTGCCAGTGCTCAGGAGCCACAGCACTTGCTGCTGACAAACACACACCTCATTGTTTTTAGGGTCTTTTTTAGGGTCTTTTTTAGGCTCTGTAGGGTGGTGATGCCCTGGCACGGGTGCCCAGAGCAGCTGTGGCTGCCCCTGGATCCCAAGGCCAGGCTGGACATTGGGGCTGGGAGCTGCCACTGTCCCTGCCCATGGATGGGGAGGCTCTGGGTGATCTTTAGGGTCCCTTCCCACCCAGCCCATGCCATGAACCCCTCAGCAAACCCAAGCTCCACCAGGCCTGCTGAGGAGCCCCCCAGGAGCAGCCCCCCATGCCAGGGCTCCGTGGCCACACAGCCACGTGCCTGGGAGCCCGAGCCCCCTCCCAGGCCGAACTCTGGCTGTCAGCAGGGCTGCAGGCCCAGCCTGGGGCTGACCTCTGGCTGTGAGCTTGCTGTAGATCTGCGAGTTCACCTCCTTGTCCCTCATGTAGCAGCGCAGCTCCTCGGCCGCCTCGCGGATCATGGTGACAGCCAGCACAAACCCCTGCCAGCAGCACGGGGAGACACAGGAGCAAAGGGTCAGCGAGAAATCACAGCTGCCTGCAGCAACAGCCACATTTATCAGTGCCAACGTAACAATCTGCATTTCCTTTCTCTGGCTGATCCTCCTGAGTGGGTGCACTGAGATGTGCTGCTGTGCAATCCCCAGTGCCAAACCCACACCAGCTGCTTGAAAACACACTTGCTGCTTAAGAAACTTCCAGTTTTATCATGGTGCTCTCCCCAAGCACATCTTTATCCCCCTAGCAAGTCTTTGTAAAGTTTATCCCCAAGAAAACCTTTGTGGAGTTTACCTGAATAATGTAAGAACCAGATCTCATTTCACCCCACAGCTGAGTAACTAAGAGTGAGAAATCCAGGGTAAGGCAGACCCCTCAAATCCCAGTGCTCAGCACCTCAGAGCCACTGCAGTCAGCACAACTCATCTGGGAGAGTTCTTTGTACAGAAATGTGTACAGAAATGTGTATAAGCCCCTTTTTATATATTCAGATAAACAGAGGATGCATGTGCCTTCATGTGTACGTACACAGACACTCCACCTACACAAATAACACTCTAAAGATATTTATGTGCTCTGCTCATGGTATAATTACATGTTTGCCTGATTAGGGCTTCAGTCCTACTCTTCTGTACATCTGAGCAGTCATTTCATTTCCTCTTGCCATGAGGAAATGCCTGCATCACATCCTTCACTGCATAAAAAATAATTAATTAATGCAAGCCAATTCTTTATGGCCTTGGTATCACAAAGTCATGTTTCTACCAGAGACTATTAGCTCAGACTAAACAGTTAAAACACTCCTCAAGCACCACAGAAAATGAACTTTTTACAGCTTGTGCTGAAAGCTGCAACCAGCTACTGATTACCTCTGTCAATAAGGAGTTTTAGGAAGGGAGCAAGGTGATGATAGAAACTGCAGGTTTCTAGTACTTACACATATCCAAATGTGTGATCTAATTAATTAATATAGCAATGAAATGCATTCATTCATTTACCTAGAAATTCCTAACTGCTTTCCAAAATAAAACTAAAAAAGCATCAGTTATTTCCAGCTTAGGTTTCAGCTGTTTGAAAAGCCTTCAAACAATCACCCCAAAATATGCCCACATGTTCCAGCTGACTGTGTCATCTCATGTGTCATTCATGGAGATCCAGGCTTTAAAACAAATAGAATTTTAACAGCAGTGTCCCAAAGCTGCTTCTTCACTTCTTTCTGGCATTTACCAGGGATCTCACTGAAAGCTAAACCCTGCAACATGCACAGCACAGACCTCAGGAAGCAAGTTCAAAATATGACTGAAGGTGCAAACTTAACCTCACAGAAAAGGCAGCACAAGAAATTTTGTCAAACACCAAAACCTTTTTGGAGAAATAAACCTTGAAGGACCTACCAGAGGAACCCAGTATGTGTAAAGTGCACCAAGCCTCATCTCAACCACGAACTGAGAGCAGGCCAAGAGCAAGAAATAAAGGTTGAAGAAGTATTTGAACTGGTTAAACAACACCTAGAAAAAAAAAAGCAGACAAAAAGAGAAGGGAGGATGTTATGCATGTTGAAGTAACCACCAGAAACATTTCTGCATGCTTTCCTAGTGACTAAATGCTGACTTGGGGCAGTTTTAAAGCAGTCCTGGACACTCAGGACACTTCTGTGTCTGGCTTGCTGCTGCCCTGAGGCAGCCTTGGCATCACCTCCACCAAACACAACCCCATCATTTTCTCCAGCTCCAGATTCTGCACTTATCTCCTGTAAAACCACTGAAAATGGGGAAAGCAGTGGGGTGGGACGATGAAAAGCAACTTTAGCCATGCTTACCCCAGGGAGGAAGGTAAAGAAGTTGTACTTCTGGTTGTTGATGACATTGCGGGGGTACCTCTGCTCTCTCTTCTCTGGGTGCCCGAGCCAGACGCTGCGAGGCCTGGGGTCCCTCCTGCCACAGCACCTCAGGCACTCACAGCACCTGCACACGGACCAGGCATTCATTAAGGAGCTCATTTCTGACACACCTGGGGTCTCACACACCCCCTGCATGCAGCCCCTGCCTCAGCTGCTCCCCGGGCAGCGCCACACAACCACCATTTATATAAATATAACCACTGTATCAGCACTTGCCCTTGAAACTCTCCGTTTTTGTCACCTCTACAAACTGTTTTTGCTTGTTAAAAAACAATCTAGAAGATTCTTTCCCCCCCCCCAATAATGTATAAAATTCACACTGAAAGGCAGCTGGTTACCAAGATCAGACAAACAGCAAAACTGGTGTTAAACACTCAAATTCAGAAACTCTACTACAGAAATGTATTTTATGAGCTGGATACTTTTCAATTGCAGTTTGTTTTTGTGTTTGCAGGTGAAGACCTAAGACAATAGCCACTTGCATCCCAAATATATTGGAATAGAAGCTACTATAAATGGTGTTATTTGGATTCCAACAGAATATAGATAGACTCCAAAGAAAAAAGGGAGAAAAAAGTGGCTTTCCTTCCTTCACAAAGGCAAAAAGGCTCCAAAATGAAGCTTTACCCAAGGGAGCAAATCTGGTGCCCACACAGCCTATTTCATCACAATGTGCTTTCCAGTTAGGAAAAATCAGTCAGTCCTTGCAATCAGACATCTGAAACCATTTACCTTTGTTTATTTTTGAGGCTGGGCCTCTTACAGGGATTGTACTCAACAGCAAAATAGCCCCACACCTATATCATAATATTTACAATAGGGTGACCCCTTGCAGCATTTCCCCCACAAACACACTTGTTGCTGTAAGAATGGGAATTTACAAATGCTCTGCTACTCCAGGCCTTGAGAAACAACCTAAAAAGAATGCAGCTCCAAGAATATGCAAGAAAGGGCATGGGAGAATCTGCTGAGTAAAAATAACAGGTTTGTGAAATCCCTGCCTGGCTGGAGCCAGTTTTTGCAAGCTCCTGAATTACAGGGAAAGCAAACTGAAAACCTAATTAAACAAACAAAAGGAAAACTTCCTGCCCAGCAAGTTTTGAAGGCAAATATCAGGAGTGTGGATGCCAGAGTAAAGAATATCCAGAATTTCTGTGGGAGTCTCCTCCACAGCCTTACAGCACGAGCTTCCTGTAAAATATTTAATTTTAAAATTGCCAGTGAACAGAATACTACAACGAGCACTGGGAGCCCCAGGTTGCAACTGGGGAGGTTCCTCAGCTCTCAGGAATCCCATTATATTACAGCCCTGTGCCAGGGAGGAAAATCCTGACAGCAAATCCTGACTCTTGCCCCAGAAACGTTCCAGGATTTTTGTTCTGCAGGCACCAACTCAACCCCAGTGCTGGTGTTTAACCCTCAGCACTCTGTGACCGTGATTTCCCTCCTGTGCTGTGCTGGGGGGGCTCAGAGCAATCCACCACCCAAACCCTGCTCCAGCAGGAATGCTATCCCACAATAACTGCTCCAGTGCCAGCCCAGGAACTGCTGAAATCACTTAAAAGTGAAGTTTTGGTCAGAACAGAGCAATTTCTCAAGCACAGAACCATGTGCTCATTCTTCCAGGCAGATGTTTATCACTCCTCTCAAAGGTAGCCAATTGCCTTAATTTTTAATTATTTTTAAACTGTTGAGTGATGTCTTAAACTTCACGGGGGAAAAATCAATAAGGTTATTAGTTCTCCTTTTCCCTTTTTCCTCTGGAAACTGAACAACCTTAATGTAAAAAAGAAAAATTATTCATGTGGGCACCAGAAACAAAGTACTCAGAGCACATACAAACGTGTTTTCAGATTAGCTTTGGTGCCCATTAAATAACAAGTCCTTTTGACTGGAGCTGTCAGCTTTTTCCAGTTACTTTATTTATCCCTCCCTGCAAGAGTTCTGCAGGCACTGTGTAGTTCTGTGATCTGCTGTTTCTCTGGCTACCACCCCTGTTACAGATGCAGATGATGAGGGAAGAGGCTTCATTACTACAAAATTCTCTGCTCAGAGCAAAGGTAGTGGCACAGGAGGAAATTTCTGGCAGAGAATTATTTGCATTAGCAGGAATAATAAAATGTTTTCCATCATGAAATCTAAAGACTGCATCCTGGAAAGGGAAAGATTATCTAGAAAAACAGCTGGGAGTTTACATTGCTGCTGAGAAACGCTGATAAAATGAATGTGCACTTTCCAAGAGGAGGAATCACAATGTTACAGAAATGTAAACAGTTTCTGTAATAGTTTGGGAACACATTCCTAAACATTTCTCCTTCTCCATTTTGCAGCTGAAGGACTGAAGGACAATCCTGCAATAACCCTGAAGTATAGAAAACTATCAAGTGAGGATAAATAATGGACTTTCAAAATTATCACCTTGCAGAAAGACCACGAAAAACACACGAGCACAGCTTATCTAGCACTGTGCAATTCACATTTTAAATCGTAACTTGGCAAAAAAGCAATAGGAAACAAACTCACAAATCCTCAAACAGAGTCACAAGCACTGAACAGAATCTCCCAGGATGCAAACTGTACCTGAAGCTCAGTCCTGTAAGGGAGGCTGCCCTTAGTCTGCAGGGGGATCCCAATGAACAGGAGGAACTGAAGAACAGGTCTGCTCTGCACTTCACCTGGGATTATGTTTGCTCACAAAACCACGTTCCCAGTGGTGATGTAAGAGGCAGGAACAAGCAGAGTGATTGCCAGTTGCCAGGTGAACAGGCACTAGCAAGAAGCAGGTTTTATTTATAAATGTTTGACAGAGAAGTGTTTGAAGATCAAATAAAAAATACTCCCATGTAAAACAAACCCAATAGGGAAAAAGTTCCACTTTTGTAGGTGTGCAAACCTACAACCAAACCTGTTCTGAGGTGGCATTTGTCAAATTGGTGCTGATGTTCACTGGCATATTTAGTCACTTCTAAACCCAGCCCATTTCTCAGATTTCGTTTCTGTGACCCTCATGGGCCGTGCTTGGCACCTTTAACACACAAACCAACCCCCACGTGACAGCATTCCAAAAGGAGGAGATAAATTTTCCATGGCTAAAGAAAACCAGAGTCATGCAACCACCTCACCCTTTAATGCACCTGCGCATGAGACACTGCAGGTGGAACACACTGGAACATTCCCTCTGCAGGCCATGCAGCTGGTGTGGCTCTGGAGGGGCAGGGGAGCTGCAATTCCTGCAATTCCCAGGCTGTGGGAAGGCAGCCCAGCCCCAGGCTGCACGTGCCAAGGCACACCCACACAGGCTCTCCCAGGGCAGGAGCTGCCGTCCCTCTCTGCTGGCTCTGAGATGGAATTTGCCATTTTAAACAGAGCCAGAGTACACAGGCAGCACAATGGCTTTACAGCCTCAGCAAGTGTTCCTGCAAAGCTCCTCCTTCCCCTGCAGCTCTGGAGCCAGGCCTTTCCCACACAGCAGCTGCATGAGCACAGCGGTTTGCTGCTTTAAAAGGAGCCCTGCAGGACTGAGCACTGACACCATGAGCTATTTAGGGGGGAATTTGTGTCATGTGCTGAGCAGAGCACCCGGGGTGCTCCAGGAACCTGCAGCTCCTCCCTGCAGGACTGGGCCCTGGGCAGCTCGGGCTCACTGTCACCCCACCAGGGCTGCTGCAGCTCTGCCATCCCTCCCTCCCTCCCTCCTCACAGTGCTCACAGGGCTCCAGAGCGATGCAAAGCCTCGGAATGAACAGGGCTGAATTCATGGCACAGCATGGGAATTCATAGCTCAGCCTTGGTGGCAGCCCCTCTGAAGCTGTGCTCAGGAACAGATCCCCACTCTCCCACTCACTTCTTTAAGCTCGTGGTTCTCTCCAGCACAGACCTGAGCTGTCTGAGCCATCACTCATCTCTGCAAGGCTCCCGAGCCAGCTCCTCCCTGGTTTCCTTTCAAAGCATGCCAGAAACTGAGGGAAATGAAAGCCTTGCTGGATGGCACCTGCCCTACAGGTGAATTAGCCATTTCTTGCTTTTATTTTAACAAACCCCAAGATTTCTATAGAGACGTTCATGACCAGAAATTTGCTCCCCACTCCAGAAGACCACACCAACAAAAATCTGTCTGAAAAGTCACTCCCACTGCTGGGGGACCCCCAGAGTAGGAACCAGCTGGGGCTATGGCAAAGTGAAGCCCATCAACACTTGCCCATCCTGGTTTTCATATGCATCGAGGAACATAAATTGGATGCTTTAGTGTGGGTTTTTCCTCAGAGAGAACAGAAGAAAAGAGGCCTTGATTATGGCCTAGGATTTCCAGGCTGTGACACCAGGGACCCCTCCACTTGCTGGATGATTTGTTCTATGGTTTCTAACGCTGGTTTGGATTGGCTTGACTTCAATGCTTTGCTATCCATCGCTTGATCAAACACCAAGAGATCACATCACTAAAACAAGGGTTCCTCATGTATGACAAATCCCACCCCCAAACAATTACTGCACTGAACAGAAACCCCAAATCCAATTTATTTCAACTGCTATTGAGTAAAAGCCCTAGGCAAGCTTCCTTCCCGGCCGCTGGAATTTTTGCCAGCACTGGAAAGCCTCTCAGTGGCTGCTAATCAGGCAGGATCCCCAGGCAATGACCCATGGCTCGGGTTAGCTGAGGGCAGGCTCTGCTAGCAGCACTAACCACACTGAACACCCAGGAGGCTCCTGCTGGAGATTACAGAACTCCAGGAACAGAATCCATTCGAGCAGCTTGGAGAAATTTCCCAGGCCCTCACCTCTCCCCGCTCCCTTCAATCACGTCACCAAAGGCAAGGCCGTGGTGGCTGCACCTTGTGGCACTTGCTCAGCAGTGCATGTGACACAGGCACCGGGATTGCTGCTGCATCACACACACCTCCCTGCCCCGGGTACAGCACCAGCAACAACCCGACAGCAAGGAAAACACCTAATGCTGAATGAACTGTGTAAGCAATGTCAGCTACAGGGCTCTGAACACAAACTACCAACCAAAAACATAAACAAGGCAAACGTGTATATTTCCCCTTGCTCTAACAGTGAAGATTT